CTCCAGACAAGGCCTCTGGTTTTCACTCCTAGTCCCCTACCTCCCAATCTATCTTCCACGAAGTAGCAACAGTGATTAAAAACAAAAACCTAGAGCCACTGTAAAACCAGCTCATGGCTGTCTGCTTAAAGCCCTTGGTGCCCTTGAAACAGAATCTGACTCCTCCAGGGCTACCAGCCCCACACGCCAGCCTCCTCCTGGCACAGTGAGACACAGGAACACTGGCCTGCAGGTTCCTCCGTCACTCCAAGCTCATTCCCATGGTGGGCCTCTGCACCGGCTGCCCTTCTGCCTGGAAGGCTCACTCCCTCATCCCGTTATGGTTGCTTCCTTTTTGCCCTTCGGGCCTTGAGGTATGGGATCTCACCTCAGAGAGGCCTCCCCTGAATGCCCATGCTAAAGCTGACATCCAGTCCTTCTCCATCATGCCATCCTGTTTAGTCTCATACCAACACTTACCTTTTTTTCTCCTCCAGTGCTGGGGATGGAACCCAGGTCCCCTGCATGTTAGGCAAGGGCCCAACCACTGAGCTACACCCCCTCCCCATTTAGTCTCTGCATTGCTTTTATTCCTGTCTCATCGTTCCTTGTTCACTACCTTCACACATTCAACCAACACCTATTGATCACTTCTTGTGCCAGCTGGACTAGACATGTGTTTATTCTCCCTGAATTATGTAAAAGCCCATGAGGGTAAGGCCTTGGCCATAGGCTCAGGGCCTGGCATGGAGGCAGCATTTGATAAATATTTAATTTGCAGAATGAATAACAGTCAATAGGTGATGTGTACTCAGGAAATCAGAACTTGCTTAGACTTCATGGCTTTGAGGCAGCCAATATTCCAAAGCAGCTCCAGTGCTTGGATATACCATTCCCTGCCTGCATTTTTCCAGGCTAGCTATGACTCCCTTCCTGTTTGTATATCCGTCATGCATTTATTAGGTCCTACTGCTTACAGATCTATGCTCAGTGTCAGTCTCTGTCCTGTCTAGCTCGCCCAGCTGTTGGCACTCAGAGGCCAGCCATGGACAGGCCAATAGGCTGCCTTTTCTTAGATGATGACCAACTGACTCCTCACTAGAGGCCATTCAAGAAGCAACAAAGTGCCAGGCCACCTCTCACACCTGTAACCACCTTCCATCCAGGTCCCCCAGATGCTTAGGATTTCAATGCAACTCCCAGGGACAGCACTCAGAAAGCTCAAGGTGCCAGGCTCTTTTCTCCAGTGCTACTTCCCAAGCAGTGTGTGGGACTGCTTATCCCTACCAGTGCCCAACCTGACTGCCTTACACTTCCCACCATCACAAGCCACTCCCACAGGGGACATGCAGGCTGTGGGGTCTAGCAGGGCTATATCCCATAGAGTTGGCATTCATTAGCTCTGGGATCTTCAACAGATCACTCCATCTCTGGGAACTCGTTTTCCTCCTTGGTAAAATGAGGACTATAAAAGCACTGGCCTTTTGGGTTGTTATAGCTCATCCCTCCAGAGCTTCCTGCTCCTCCCTGATCTGCAGGCCCCTGAGGTCTTACCAGTCCCAGTTCAAGGGACAAGGTAAGAAAGGAAACAGCTCTTTGGAGGGGGTGAGGGGACATATAGTTAAAACAACACATGTAGGCAGGCAGAGATACAGAGAAAAATCAGACATCATCACAGAAGACTGCAGTCAAGGGAGGAGGCAGGCTTTAGACAGAACCATGGAGCAGACAGACACATGCTCCACCTGGATGCTGTCACATGCCAGTACACCAGAGTACAGACCAGGGAGCTGTCCACTTCACTGGGCTGGGGACAATTTGAATGAGAGGGGTAAGATGAGTTTGGTCTCTTGTTTCCCAAATGTTCTGTGTCAAATGCTATCCTTGGATTAACAGGACAGGTGGATGGAAGAGGGGAGTCAACCTAAAAAAAGGCTACAGTGAATGACATAAAAACCCTCAGGCTGTAATCTATACAGTCTGCCTTGCCTCTCCCCTCTCCCTGACCCCAGACTTTCCAGTTACCACTCTTATTTCCTAGAATGCTGCATCCTCCCACCTTCTGCCCTGGTTAAGCGGCCTCTGTAACTAGGGAAGCAGCCCAGCTCACTGTCCTTGGGAAACAATGGGAAGAGTTCTCAGAAAAAGTCAGGATGTGTTGTCCTGACTTCCCTGTTCCTTGGTGAAGGTAACCTCAGATCCCAGGCATCTCCCTGGTTCTGCCAGCTAAATCCAGAGGTGACAAAATCAACAGTCAATCCCAGGGGAGTAAACAGAAACAGAAGCCATAGCTTGGATAAACCAAGGAGTAACTTGATAAACCAAGAAAGCACTAGATAAGGAAGCCTTCAAGGTCTGCCTGCAGCTCTCCAGCTGCATGTGCCCCCTGACCCCACTAGCCCTCCTCTGACTTCCCTTTCTGCTGCAATGCAGTAGCCAGATACCAGCAAGCAGCAGCCACAGCAAAGACAGAAGCCTGATGGCCTGGGGAGTGCTGACAGTCCACTCATCTCCAAAGTTCCTAATACAGGATTTCTGACAGAGGAGAAAATTTTTTAAATTAAAAATTTAAAGGGCTGGGATTGTGGCTCAGCGGTAGAGCACTCACCTAGCATGTGTGAAGCCCTGGGTTCGATCCTCAGCATCATATAAAAATAAATAAATAAAATAAAGATATTGTGTCCAACTACAGCTAAAAAATAAATATTTTTTAAAACATTTAAAAAGTTCCTACTCTTAGGGGCTGAGGCTATGGCACTTGCCGGCACGTGTGAGGCACTGGGTTCGATTCTCAGTACCACATATAAGTAAATAAAATAAAAGTTTATATATATATAAAGTTCCTGCTTTTATTTAGAGTGACAGGTGACAGGTTGGAATTGTGCTTGCTCAGATCAGTGGATTTTAGTGGTTGTGTGCAAGGACTCTGGAACCAGACTGCAAAGCTTTGATCCCAGCTCTGCCACTTGGTTGTGGGGCTCTGAAGAAATTGCTCCACCTCACTGTGCTTCTATTTCCTCCTTGTGAATGAGAATAAAGCTGTACCTGTCTCCACGGGTAGCTGTTGAGAATAAAGGAGTTAAAATAAGTTAGAGCATGTAGGGCAGTGGCTGCCACGTGTTTTTATTCTGCCAAATCTGTGAGGAAGAGTGGCTGGCCCATGAGGCCTGGAGGGGACCCAGGTGAAGGGCCCTGCTTCAGGGGGTCCTGGGTGGGTATTACATTCTAGGACTCTGAAGGAACAATGGGAGGTCTATTTTCATTGCCTCAAAGACCCATCAACAGCTGTGAAGACGCAGCCGCCCTGAGCAGTGCTCGTCAGGCTAAACAGAGCAGCCCTAGGCGTCCTTCTGACCTGATGCTGCCCCACAGTCCTGGCAGTAGACACCCTTTGGAGAATATGATCCACAGCTTCATTGATGGGTCCTGCCTGTCCCTGAGTAGGTCATATCTTTGTGCAGGGACTTTAGCCAGCCCTGGTCACTGGTGCTGATTCACTCACTCTGCCCTCACTGACTAGTTTGTAGGGGTCCCATTTACAGTATTGCTGACAGTTGGGACTCTCTACACATGAGCAGATTCAAAACTCAGCCCTCTGGGTCCTTGCATAGCCCTTAGGAGTCCAAGAAACAATAACAGTAAGTGTAGAAGATGACATACTTTGAAGAAGAATCTTGAAGCAACTTTAAAAAAAAAAAGCCTCACTGCTCAGATGTACTTGGAGTCACAGGGTCGGCAGCTGCTGCAGAGAACAGTGGCTTCCAAACTTGCTTTTGACCTCCAAAGCCATTGCTCAGTTGCAATTCATCCAGGAGCCCAATACATAAAAAACACAAACAGGGCTCTAGTGGAAACAGCACCCGAGCTGCCTGCTTGGCACCCTTTCTCCTCCCCCTGAGCCCCTGATGGCACTCATGGCAATTCTGAGGACCCCTAGGGCTCCACAAAGCACTGACAGAAAACCACTAACCTAAACCAAGTTTCCCAAGTAGAGATGGGAAAAAGAGCCCACAGGAGCCAGGCCTCGAATGGTGCCTGAACACAGACCTCGTTTTTAGACTCGAGGCTAATGCTTTTTGCCCTACTCTGCTAGGACTAGATCTATGGAAAGCTGAAATGTAAAGAAACAAGGCTTATTTCTGGTCACCTCCAACATAATCCTTAAGTATTTTAAAGGCCCCTAAACCAGCCAAGTAGGAAACAGAGCCTAGCCCCATAGATTGGCAGAAGGAAGGTCGGAAATGAGTTGTAGAAGCACATCTGACAATTCCATACAGTTTCCATCAGTTCTGTGGGACATAAACAGGTCTTGAAAGGCTTGGGCTTTGTGGCTGCGAGAGACCTGGACCAGGAGGGCCAGGAGGTGAATGCTAATGAGCTATGGAAATAGCAATTACTTCCCCCATGTCAGGCACTGTGCCAAGCAAAGGAGAATAAAGAGGACTGAGATATTTTTAAAGTATTTTTACAGCAGAAAAACTTTCCTACAGACTCAATTATATAACTATCAGACTCCACCTCTGAGCTGAAATTATCCATGGCCTCAGAGATGAAAAAAAAAAAACGGCAAGCAAAAAGTCATTTTTTCCTACATGAGGGTCACAGGTTTCTCCCGAGAAACTCTGAGCTATATGGCCAGTGACCCAGGGCAGCTGCAAACCATCAGTCCAAAGAGCTTCCCAAGGGCAGTGTGGAGTCTGCCAGAGACAAATACCGGCCAAGTGGAGGGCAAGAGTCACATGCTGACCCCCGGCCATCATAGAATAGCGCCCAGGAAGAGCCATTTTAGGGGCTGCCAGCCCCAACCACATCAGCATGGTCACCACTACTCCCTTGGACCAAAATGGGGCTGGGGTCATTGAGCCACGAGGATGCCCAGAGGATGTTCCATGCATTCACAATAACTCTGTCCTTGGCAAAGTGCAGATGGACAGAGAAAGCCAGGGGATTAAGCAACACAGATCTTCACCAACAAAACGACAGCTGAAATCAAAGGGATAGACTTAGGGAGATTAACTTACAGCCCAGGTTTTTGTCAGCCTGAAGATGGGAGCGCTTTGTAATGCTGACACCACAGACATGAGAGAATGAAGGTTGTTGAGTTCTAGAAGTTTCTGGGGGGGAAAAAGATATGGAATACATTATTTTGCTGCTATAAACAACAGAACAAGAACATGCCAAGTGTTACCAAATGTTGTCATATTCATGAAATTCAATTACACTTAAAAATATCTCATGTAGAAAATATAGTTCTAGGAAGTTCATAGGAACCATATGCTTTTGCTCTCAAATTGTCAAAAGGTGAGTCTGCATCTAAAAGGCTTGCAAAATTTCATAAGCTGACTCGTCTGGTTGCTGGACAGAAATGTGGCTCAGGATAAGATTTGATAATCCCTTTATGGTCTATTTTTAGATGAATCTGTCCCAACAGGCTTCTGTAAGCTAAAATCCTGGCCGTGCCAACAGTATCAGCGGTTCTTCTGCCATTACCTTAACGCCCGGATGAGAAATGGCTGAGGGAAGATGTTAGCCATCTGCGTAATCCCTCTCAGCTGGGAAGGCAAGCTATTCACCATGCTCCCTTGAACCAGACCCCAAATTAGTGAGAACATTTGGAGTCAATTCAGACTCAGACAAGTTCCTTACCAGGAAGGGCAACAGAAGGAGACATAGTAGAGAGTAAATGCAGAAAAATGTAAAGGCTCTGTTCTTGGTTTTATGCTGAGGGATACGGCTCACATGACAAGGTTCCACTTTTCATTCTTGGGAGACAGTGAAGCCTGGGCTAGCGAGTAGGTTCTATGGGACCCGCAGGCCTGGTTCCAATCCCAGCTCCCACTCTGCATTTCCTTCGACAAGTTACCCAATCCTCTGCACCTTGATGTCCTCACAGGTAACATGGGGAAGGTGATAAAGGCACTTGTGCTGCATGAGATGGTGCAGCCTGGGCTGGGTGGTGTGCGGTGGTCTCAGTCTTTTCTATCTGGAAGACTCATCTTCCCTTTGCTCATTCCTCGTCTTGGGTAATTCCTGGCTCAGATACCACTTCCTCTAATATGGTTTTCCAGACCACATTCCCAAATTTATGGTGGTGGGAACTCCATCTGTGTTCCCACACTCTTTGTATTCTTCACATTCTAGATTGTACTTGCTTTTTATTTGCCTCTCTCTCACCCTGAACAGTGTGTCCCCTGAGATATCATGTCCCTGTACCTAGTTCAGCACCCAGCACATAACAGGTAAAATGAATAAATAAACGAAAAGCCCTTGTATCTGGGCCTCATAGCTCTATTCTTACTTGGAAAGTTTTCTCTGACCACACAGATTAATACTTCAGTTCACACATCTTGTAACAATTTCTAGTTGTTTCCTGTGTGAGAACAGATTCCCCGAGTGAACTGAACTGCATTCTAGTATCTGAATTGCCATGCCTATCACTGAATTTCCTCTCAGTGCCAAAGGCATCTGGGAGTTTATCTAACCTACCTCTTCTAATTTATAGATGAGAAAACCAAGGCCCAAAGAAGGGAAGGGGCTTGCCCAAGGACATACCCAGCATGTGGGGCCAGCATGACAATCTACAGTAAGGAAAAGGGTGGAGGTTAATGACAGATCATTTGGGACTCCTTAGACAGGGGCCATAAACTCATTTCCAAACTGTAAGCCCCAGGAGGGATTAGAACTACAGCCAGATATCTTTTCTTCTGCCCATCATAGCACTGACTGACAGCAATAAGTATTATTAAACCCAGTGACAGTCCCAAGTACTTCAGGAGAATGAATGGGACATTTGGTGACCACTGCTCCCAACATCTTTATAGACCAATGCACTTAACCTTCCCCTGAAGGGCGGCAGGGCTGCTCCCCCGAAGGCAGAGATATGGCTTTTATTCCTACTCTGCTGCTGACTCTCTGTGGGGCCTGGGCATGGACATTGCTCTCCAAGTCTTCTTCCTCTGCAAATTGGGTGGTACTAATGTGAGCCCTGAATGCAATCAGCTGAATGCAGCTGCTTTGCGGCCTGTTCAGGAGGGCCTGGGTGGGAAGAGGACACATGCATGCACAGAGCAAGGGGTGAGCCCACTGCAGCAGGCACAGGACAGGGAGCTGGGCGTGCGGAGACACTCCTGGCCTGAGAGCAGCCTGGGAAAGCACCAGGATGGCCCAGCTGGGGCTGGAACAGATGGAGGAAGAAGAGGGGAAGTCGGGGCCAGATGAGCAGGCAGGGTGGACTACACCAAGCGGGGCACTGGAGGTGGAAATGAAGGGCACAGGGTCATCTTGCCCAGGCCTGAGCTCAGGATGGAGTGGAGCAGACTCTGCTGACTAGTGACATAACTGTGCAGGATGTGAGTAGATCACAGGCACTGATGCTACCTAAAATCATTCAGACCCAGCAATTCCAAATCCGATGGAAGAATGAACAGAGTCCAGGGGGCACCACAGGACCTTGGGGAAAGAGTGCAAGCCCAGTAAGGAGAATGGCTGGCTGCCAACATCATGGGATGGAGAAGCATGCTGCTGATGCACATGCAGGTACCAGGGCATAGGCAGCAGGGTAGATCTCAGAGGTGGCTCTACCTGGGGAACTCAGGCCATAGTCCCCACCCACCATTTCAACCCTGTCCTGCAGGCCCACAGAAAAGCACTTCCCAAATACAGTTGGACAGACAGACACATGGTCATCCTGTGTGCACATTTTTGAGACAAAAACAAGGAGGGGGGAGGGAGAAAATAATAATAAAACAGCTTACCTTGGCTATTTTCACAAAATGGCTGAGGATTTCTGCTCTTATTTTTAAAGTCTGTGCTGTTAGAATTTCTCGAACAACCCAAAAACTGACCTGTAGAATCAAATACACACACACACACACACACACACACACAACCAGAGAAGTCGTTAAATGCCAGACACCCATCACCCTTGCCCACTACTGCTGTGAGATATCCATGAGACTGGGAAGCTGGGAGAGCATGGCCCAGGGTCATATGAGGTGAAGGGCTCCTTGTGGCACCCGATCCTGGATGGGACCCATGTTCTCAGCACCCACTCTCCGCACATACAGCAGTGCTGGGAGAAGCAGGCATGTCTGTGTACACCCAGGGGAGTACTGGCCTCCATGACATACCAGTGTCTCTGCAGGTGCTGCAGGGAACTGAGAAATGAATTGGGCTGGACACCTGCTTAGAAGGATCTAGATGCAGGATGACCATGGATGATGGGAGGACAGTTGGACAGACAGACACATGGTCAGCCTGTGTGCACTGACAGTACATCCACTAGGTAGGCCCAAGACAAGGAGGATTCACTGAAAATGTGTGCAACTGCCACAAACTTAATTTTCTAAGAAAGGTTGTCCAAGAATAAATGATACAAAAAGTCTTTCCAAATTCTGAGCAGTGCAGGTTGCAGCTATGACTTCCTGGAGACAGCCTGTGCCTAAAGGGCATGCCAGAAGCTGTGGTTCAGAACCTCATTCATGCTTGACCTCTCACATCAAGCCACAGCCCCAAATCCCTGGGTCTGGTGGGAACAAGAAAGTCATCTATCAGTGTAGGGCTGACTCACAGTACCTCAAGGAAACAGAGGAAAGGGTCAGCCAAGGAATGCTGGGAACTGGCTGGCCTTCTGGCTTGTGTTTCAGGGTGTTTCACTATCGCACAACGTGTGATGCGAAACACGAACACCCAGAGTGCTAAGAAAGGTGGGCCAAAGGATGGGGGGTGAGTGGCATGAGAAGGAAGGCAAGGAGTCTGAAACCCTCCATTTTTAAAAAATATTTTTTAGTTATCGATGGACCTTTATTTATTTATATGCGGTGCTGAGAATCGAACCCATTGCCTCACACATGTAGGCAAGCATTCCACCACTGGGCTACAAACCCAGCCCTGAAACCCTCCATTTTATAAGGAAAAAAAAAAATGAAGGATGACCCAGAGTTAACAAAGCAAGCCCACTGCTGCGATACAGTACAGTCTTGTAACAGAAATACTGTTACTTTTCCAAAAGAAAACAAGGAAAGAAAAACCCAGAATCACCAATTTGCCTTTTATATTAAGCAGGAGTATTATAGAAATGTTTTCTTGGTGTAACGATCTGTGGTTGCCTCCAGGACACGCCTGGGTTTCCATAGAATCATTTTTTCCATGGATTTGTCAAAATTAAGTTCAGATTCAAATGTTTACTAGCCAGTTATGGAAGAAAGTGTTTCTGGATAGCAAGCACTCAGCCCATAACCTTGTATGTGACTATGTATGCTCTTCTATGCCACATAATCTCAAGTGCGATACTTTGTATGTATAATTTAATAGATTCCTACATGCCAAAACGCCACACATTTTTCTAGCCTAATTATGGGAGGTGGCAGAGCTGACTTTGGATCTGCAGCACATAGTTTGCAGGGGAAGATCCAGGTCAACAGTTTGATTCAACAGAGCTGCCTGAAGCCCCAGTGGGTGCAGGCTCCAGAATCCACGAGTCTAGAAGAGAATATAGGTTTCTTATGTGGAGCATTTCCAGATTGGCTTTTTTTCATTTAAGATTCATCTCTATTTTTTTATTTTAATTTTTAAAATATTTTTTTGGTTGTAGATGGACATAATACCTTGATTTATTTTTATGTGGTGCTGAGGATCGAACCTAGTGCCTCACAAGTGCAAGGCATGTGCTCTACCACTGAGACACAACTCCAGCCCCTCATCTCTATTTTTTTAGTTAACTATTTATTTATTTATTTGGTGCCAGAATTGAACCCACAGGCACTTAACCACTGAGCAACATCCCCAGCCCTTTTTATCTTTTATTTTGAGACAGGGTCTTACTAAGTTGCATAGGATTTTGCTAAGTTGCTGAGGCAGGCTTTGAACTCACAATCCTCCTGCCTCAGCCTCCTGAGTTGCTGGGATTCCATCTGTATTTTTACATGACTTGATAACTTATTCCAGTTTATCTTACCCATTCATCTACTGAAGGACATCTCCATTGCTTCCAGTTTTTAAAAACTTGAATGAAATTGCTGTAAATGTCTCTGTGCTTATGTGCATCCATGTGCATATGTGTATGTATGTGTGTGTAAGCTTTCAAATCATCTGGGTAAATACCCAGGAGTGCAATTGTTGGACACATCTGCCTCGTTGCATTCCCACCGCCCCACACACAGGACTTCGTGCTGCTCCAGATCCTGGCCAACAGTTGGCACTGTCAGCTTTTCTGTGTTTGAGGCATTCTAATAGGTGTGTAGGATTTTGCTTTTCTCTAATGATAAATAATACTGAGCATCTTTCATAAGTTTATTTGGCATCTGGATATCTCCTTTGGTGGGGTATCTGTTGAGTTCTTTTGCCTGTTTTTAATTGGGCCATTTTTTTTTACTGCTGAGCTTTCAGAATATGATTTGTACACAAGTCCTTTATCAGATATATATTTGAAAAATATTTTCTCTCAGTGCCTGGTTTGTCTCTTAATTCTCTTAACCATGTCTTTTGAAGAATGAAAATCTTATTAACTTAATAAAGTTCCAATCAATTTTTTATTTCATGGATTGTGCTTTTGGTTTCATCATCAAACCCAAGGTCATACAGATTTTTTTCTTCTGTTTTCTCCTGTAAGTTTTAGAGTTTTGAGTTTCACATTTAGTCCTAAGGTTGATTTTGAGTTTTTATGAAAGGGCTTAGGTCTGTGTCTAGATGCATTTACACACACGCACATGTCTGCTGTTCCAGCACTATTTATTGAAAAATTATCCTTTCTCTAGTGGATGCCTTTATACCTTTATGAAAAATGAGCTGACTCTATTTGTGAGGGGCTCCTTCTAGAGTCGATATTCTGTTCCACTGACCTAGATGCCTGTTCTTTTGCCAATACTGAGTCCCCTAACTTTGTTCTTTTTTAGCACTGTGTTGTCTATTCTAGGTCTTCAGCCTTTCCATACCATCTTTAGAAGAAGTTTGTTACTATTTATAAAATAGTTTTGTAGGATTCTTATTGGAATTACATTGAATCTACAGATCAAGTAGGAAAGAAGTGACATCTTAACAATAATGTCTTTTGACCCATGATGATAGAATATTTTTCCATTTATTTAAATCTAATTTGACTTCTTTCATCAGTGTTTTATAGTTTTCCACATATAAACCTGTACATATTTTGTTACATAAATACCTAAGTTTTGTTTTTGGTGCTATTACAAATGGTATTTTTTTAAATTTCAAATTCCAATTCTTCATTACTGGTATATAGGAAAGCATACTGACCTTGTGTCTTGTAACCTTGTTGTACTTGCTTTTTAATTCTGGGGTGGAGGGCATTAAATAGACTTCTTTGGAATTTTCCATATAGACAGTCATGTCAGCTATGAATAAAGATAGTTTGGTTTCCTTCTTTCCAATTTTTGTCTGTTATTTATATATTTTTCTTGTCTAATTGCACTAACCAGGACCTCTAATACAATGCTGAATAGAATGGAAAGAGAGCACACCCTTGTCTTGTTCCCAATCCTTGGAGGAAAGTGACCTTTAAAAATGATTTTGACTAAAAGATTTTTATAAATGTTCTTTATCAAGTTAATGAAATAGCCTTCTACTCCTAATATGCTGATTTTTTAAAATTGTGAACAAAAGTTGGACTTTGTCAAATGTTTTTTTCAGGTCAATTATTTTTCTTTTTTGGATCAATAATACATTACATTAATTGATTTTCAAATATTTGAACCAGTTGTGTATACATGGAATATATCCCATTTTGTCACAGTGTAAATAACTTTTCAATACACACAAATTATTACTATAATGACAGTTGCTTCGGTGATATAGCTATAGAGTTCAACTGCTGGGGACTTAGACATCCCCTGGGAGACCCAAAGAGGTATTATAGATGAACAAACTAAATACATAGGAACACAAAGAACTTTATTTAGTTAATCAACCACAAATAAAAACAATCAAACCATGTGGCAAAAGGAAAAAAAATATCTAGGTTTAAGAAAAAAAATTATCTTTTCTTATGAGAAATCTACTTTTGCCACAAATTTCTCATAAGTCCATTCATGATTTTTTTTTTTTTTAAGAAACCAAGAGTTAGAAGGGATCTTAGAGGTTCTGCCTTTTCTCTGCCACACCATTGGATGCAGTTCTACACTAACCATGATAAAGCCCTTGTCTGGCTTCTGCTTGAGCCTCCACAGTTAGGAAAGAGCCAAACTGCCTCCTACTTCTGGCCCCTGTATTTAACCATCAGGCCCTCTGGGCTGATCCAGCCACCCAGTAAGAACCCCACAGTTACTTACAAACCTCGCTGACTCCTCCCTGAGCTTTCTCACTCCTTAGACCTTCTCCTGATCCCCTCACCCTTCTGGTCACTGTGATACTTACAAGCTCCTGTGTGACATCGGCACCCCATGTGAAGCACCCCAAACTGGACATAAAGCAGACCAGAATAGAATTACTTACACCTATGAGAACTTCTCAATGCAAAAGAGCTGACAATGCCAATGGTTGGCAGGGATCTGGAGCAAGGCAAACTCTCACATGTTGTTGTGAGGGGGCAGATGTGGTCCAGATTGCACCCCTAAGTATTTACCCAGATGATTTTAAAACTTACATAGCACACATACAAGCATGAAAATGTTCACAGCAACTTATTCAAATTGTCAAAAACTGGAAGAAACTGAGATGTCCTTCAGTATTGATCAATGGGTAAGCTGACCATGGGGAATCCATATAGTGACATAGTGTTCATGTAAAAAACTGAAATGAGTTATCAAGTCATATATAGAGAGATGAGTCTATTACAAAGTGAAAAATGCTGGTCTAAACAGGCTACATATGTATCCTTCCTTTTTCTTTCTGTCTTCCTTTTTAGACTGTCTGGAAAAGATAAACCAATAGAGATAAACAAGCAGATCAGGATCTGGGTCACTTCTTTCTCTCCACCACAAATCCCACCTTCTTCCTCAGGCAACTTGTACATCACCATGAACTACAGCTTCATGCCTCTTGACCACTTCAACTGCAGCAACCATCGCTCCCACCACTTCCATCACCACCTCCTTCCTGATTACCAGGGATGGCTCGACAGCAGAAAACTACACTCCAGTCTTGGCCACAACCCTTCTCCTTGACCCCACTGTGCCAGACCCTCCCTCTTAGCATCCCCTGGAGTCCCTGGCAGCCCTCTTTCTTGGCATCCTTTTCCTCTAGGCAGACCCATCCCCTATCAGTTGTTACTCCACTCCCTCCTTTGCCAGTACTTGAAGTTCTCTTTTGCCTTGGTCCTTCCAGAAACTCAGGCTGCTGGCCTCTGTGTGCATGCACAGATGGATCCCACCACGAATCCCACCATGGATCCCACCATGCCTCCTGTGCTCCCACTCTCAGGCTGTGCAGGTTAACTAGATATGACTACCTGCCCACTGCCCCAAGGACACTGTAAAAGTCACAATTTTTACTGTGCCACCATCGGTGCCCTAGAGCCTTTCCATATCAGCTCTTCCTCCTTCACCCTGGAGTAGGTTTTCCACTTTCCCACCCTCTGCTTCCCCCTTTGCCTCCTGTTTTCCTGAAGAAAAGAGGCCACAGGGCCTCCCTGTGTCACATCTACAGGTGGACTGACAACTGCATCTTGCCTTTTTGGGGCACCTCTCATCCCAAGAGCCCCAGCCTCAGCCTCTCCCACCTTCTCTGGGAAATACTTCATCAAGGATTCCTTCTCATCTTTAACTTTTCCTTGTTTCCTGGATTCTTCCATTCAAAACAGGAACCTCCTCAAGACTGCCCACTTAGAAGAAGAAACAGAGGACCACCTCTCTGGGCCTGTTTGACCCCTCCTGCCATCTCCTCCTCATCTCCGTCTTTGGAGTCACAGTTGCTGGGATCACCCGCACCTGCTCTCTCTCCGCTGTCGCCATCTCCTCCTACTCAGCCTGCTACGATTTCGACAAAACTGTCTGCCTGATGTCACCAGCAGGGTCTCGATGCCAGGTTTCAAGGCCTCTTCTCCAGCTGACTTACGTGGCCCATGCTGCAGAACTCTCTCTCTCTCTCTCAAAATGATTCCACTACCTTTCCTGGGTGTTCCTCCTGCTCTTGGCCACCCTTTCTCAGCTACCTGTGCTGCCCCCTGTCCTCTGCCCATCCACAAACACCAGCAGTCCTCACATTCACACTTGGGCCTCTGTTACTCCTGATTTCCTCTTCATCATTTCCAAAACTTTCAGCATCCCCTGGACACCGTCCCTGCCCTCACGCCTACACCTATGCCCCAGCCTCTAGTCTGGCCTTAACCTTTCTTTTGGCTCAGAGCTCCCACAACCCTTCATGTTAATCGTTTCCTGTGTGACAAGCATGGGGCTAGACCCTTTACTCCCATGATTCTCATTTAATCTTTAAAAAACAGTCAAAATGCTTCCTGAGGAAGATGAGCTCACAGAGGCCAAAAGCTAGCCCACACTGTACAACTAATGAGTTATGGGGTTAAGACGCCAACCCAGGTCAGATCTGTTTCATTCTCTGAGACCCTGAAGTGATCCCGCATTCATTTTAGTGCAGCAATCAACTCCCTAAAATTACATGCAAATGTATGTGTCCACAGTTTCTGGGGAAAAGTTCTTATGTGATATCGTCAGATTCTCACAAGAATCCATGACTCAAAAAAGATGGAGAATGTCTCTGCTGTAAGGAGAACTCCTTGAGGTCAAGACCCCAAAGAACCTGGCTGAGCTCTTCCATGCAGCTGTTCTATGAAGAAATCCCTAGGGACTCGGGCCCTGCTGGCAAGCAGATCAGGACACTGGCCACTGAGTTTCTGGCCTGGCCACAAGGAGCCTCAATCCCTGGCAACCTCCTTCCCATCAGCTGATCTGCACATTTTCCTTGTCTTCCCTCTAAAACGTATGGATACCTCTTGGTGCCACCCACTATGCAAGCAGAGGATGTCATTCTCAGTTACAGATTTGGAAACTGAGGCTCTGCAGGGGCAGTGACCTGCTTCCTTTTACCTGGAGTCCTGTCCTCACATGGAAAGGCCCACCAGGAAGGGACACCAATGAGTTCATCCCGAAGAAAGCCACCCCAGTGGCTGACCGTCCTGGCCTCTGGGCAATGTTCAAACTAGAGCTACCAGGGCTATGTCCAGGAACGGCCAAAGGGCCATCAGGAAGTCCATTTCCTGGAGCATTCTGCTTGAGAAAATGCAATTTCACTTCTGGCTCATTTCACCACTCAGCCTGAGCTGGACATAATGCAATTGTTCACAGAACAAGCTGCATGGCCTTTGCCAAGCTGGCCTGGCATCTGCCTGCAAAGCAGATTGCATCAGAGCCCCAACAGCCTCTCCTACAGGAGCTCCATGGCTGGTCAGAGGAGGGACTGAGTTGGCTCCCAGTCAAGTTGTTTTGTTGGGAAAACTATGAATCCCCTGATAGTTTATGCACATCTGTTTTCTTAAGACTAAGCTCAGTTGAAAAGAAAAAGATTTTCAAACGAAAGAGAAAAGAAGCAAAAGGTTTGGAACTTGATTTTTCAAAACAAATGATATGCAGCTTCTAGCCCAGCCGCATCTAGGCCTTTCTTAGCTCTTAATCATATCTCACCAAGGAACACCTCGGTCCGCTCTAGTCCTGATCTTCAGCCAATAAGCTGGTGTCTCTGTGAGGCTCCCACTGTGCTCACATGGGTGCTGAGGCTATGAGGGCTGGAAAAGCTGAATAGCAGTGATGCACAGGACCAGGCATTTCCAAGAGGGAAGGCCCAGCTGGAGCCATGGCCTCAAGGGAACATAGGCCCCAGCACCCAGAGGACCAATCATGCACATTATGCAACCTCTGGGCCACTGTCCTCATTTGAAACCAGAAAAACAAAACAGAAGAAGAAAAAATTGCCAACAGCATCATTTGGGGGTTTGGTTTATGCAACGGGAGTCGTCACAACCAGAGCAAAAATTGTGCTCCATCAAATCAGTTTGGAATAGTATGGGGCCAGTTAATCTGGGTTCAAAGAAGTCCAACTCAAAACTGTTTCCTGAGCACCTCATTCACTGGTCCTACTGAAGGTCTAGTACCTTTCTGCCCGACACTGGGCAAGGGAGCAGGTGGCAGGTGGGCATAGTGATAAGTAAGACGTGCGTGGTACCTGTCCTATGAAACTCACAGACTGGCAAGGAAGCAGAGACCAGAGAGCTACACAGGATGAAGACAGATGGGTAAAGCACCACACAGAGAAGGACATGGTGCCATGAGGGAATGGATGATCGGGAGACCTCTGACAGGCTGGGGACCCAGGGGACAGGCTAAGATCTGAGAGTTAAACATGAAGGAGGAGCTCTGGGCTGACAGCAGAACACATAGGGCCCCTACAGGACAGAGACACGACGTATCGGGCAAGAGACGCAGGCCAGCATGGTGAAGCCTGAAGAGGGAGGAATAGGAAGCAAGGCTGGAGGATGGCAGAGGCTGGATCCCGATACCTGACCTCTCAGAGCACAACAGGGTGCTAGAACCTTAGCTTATATGGAATTGAAGCCCCTGGCATGACATAGACACAGGAAAGACATGTTCAGTTCTACCCACCTTATGAACTGGGTTGTAATGGCGCGAGAGTGGGTGAACACAGGGGTCTGGAGGAAGGGTTTGGATCTGGGGCAAGGTGCCTCGAAGTGAACCCTGGTGGGGCTGCAGCATTTAGGGACAACAGACTGCCTCTAGACAGGCATACACAAGGGCGGTTGCTTACCTGGTTAAACCTCCGGGTGAAGGCCACGACGTTGGGGGCCAGACTGTGTTTCTCCTTCTTACTCCATCCACAGCTGGCTAGTTCCTAGAAAGCAGAGAGTCCATTTCAACAGGGATTCTACTTGGGATGCAAAACCCACCACATCAAGTGGGAAGGAGCGGGGAGCTGAAGACCTGGCTACTCTCACCTTCCTTCACCAGGTCGGGGAGGAAGGCGGGATCTGTGGGAGAAGGTGTCTGCACGTGCTGCCAAAGGTGAGGAGGAGATGCAGAATACTTTCCTCCCATAACTTTGGCCACATTTCCCAAGATTTCTACGTCAAAATGTTCTCTTTTTATGTTTTGAGTAGTGCGTTGTAATCATGCATAATAGTGGGGTCCACTGTGACATATTCATACATGCAAATAATCTAGTTGCTTCATTTCATTCCCTAGTACACACCTTTCCCTCTCCTCATGGTCTCCTTCCTCTAGACTACTGGGCTTCCTTATATTTATTTACTTTTTAAAAATTGGTATGTTATATATAAAAAGTAGGGGGGCTGGGGTTGTGGCTCAGATGTAGAGTGTTCACCTAGCATGCGTGAGGCACTGGGTTTGATCCTCAACACCACATAAAAATAAAATATTGTGTCCATCTATAACTAAAAAGCAAATATTTTAAAAAGTAGGATTCATGATATATTCATACATGCATAGAGCATAATTTAGTCATCATTCATTTTGCAGTTCCTCTGATACTTGCATTCTAAAATTTATAGCAACATAGTTCACAATAGCCAAGGTATGGAACCAGCCTAGATGCCCCTCAAAGGATGAATGGATAAAGAAAATGTGGTATATATACACAGTGGAGTATTACTCAGCCATAAAGAAGGGTGAAATTATGTCATTTGCTGGTAAATGGATGGAACTGCAGAGCATCAGGCTAAGTGAAACAAGCCAGATGAAGAAGTCAAGAGTTGAATGTTTTCTCTCATATGTGGCTTCTCTGGGGCCAAAAGTCCTTTCTTAGTGGGGACACAAACATTTTAACTAGCAGGACTCCTCCTGATGTAGAGTGAACCCAGAGCCCCAGGTGAACTTAAAACTGAAATCCAGCTGAAGGCTTGCAGATTTCATTGACCACATGACAGCCTCCATTCCTGAGTCAGGAAAAATCCTAATCCAGGCCCACCACCACCAGAAGAGCTTCCAGGACTACAGGGGCTTCCTTCCTGAAGTTGGACCCTTCCACTGTATATGACCAAAGGGACAGAAGGGAAGGTTCACTTTAGTGTCTTGTTCAGGGGCCTTGTCTCTGCTTTTCCAGCAGGTTTAGCATCATGATTTGAAGAAATAGATTAGCTACATTTTATCTATCAGTAAGGCTGGTTCCTACCTGGAGATAAAAGAAGTAATCTAATGGGGGTTTTAAAAAGGACCAAGGTAAAGCCACTATCCAAAGACCATTCCCAACTTGTGCCTGCCGGAAAACAGAAGAAACGTAGATGCTAGAATTCTCTATCCTGAGTTCTAAGACTTCCTATTAATTCATGTCAGGCTCAATATCATTAGTATCTTTTTTTTCCAGCTGCACAGCTGGAACTTTCTAAAGATTTTTAGTGAGAGTCAGTTATCCAGCAGCTGGGACAGAGGCAGATCAGGAAGTCAGGGCAGTAATGGGAATGGCCATAAAGAAAACCATCGGCTGGGCAATTATGCCTGAGGTGTGGTGCTCATCAAACATATCTCAGGGCCCACAGGTAAGCCACAGATAGGAGCCTGTGGAAACTGGCCAGAGTTACTGGGCAGCTCTGGCAACAAGATGGACAAGCCAGGCACGGGAACACATGGGAACCAACCAGGAGGAGCTATCACACACCTCCTCACGGCTACCTCGCATGTATCACGGCCTTCACAGAAACCCCCACAAGAGAACACGACCAACCCAGACCCTGCCAAGTCCTCACACTGCCCCCTCCCAGGCTAGACCCCAGGTAAGAGTAATGACAATGATATTAACTAATGCTACCGCTTAGCAAGAATCCCCTATGTGGCAGGTGCTGGACCAGGCACATCACCTATGTTTTCCATGTGATTCTCACCACATTCATTTTAACAAATGGGGGAAAAAGGGCTCAGACTTCATGTACACCGTGAGTCCACTTCTCAAAATCAGATGTCTGTCTCTTAGAGATGTACGATTTACCTCTGTTATTTCCTTGTTCTGAACTGTGTATTTGACCTGCCTCTGTTGCATTTACCCACACCATTAAACACACCTGAATTGTTTACAGGTATATGTTCACACTCATTTAGTTTATCAGGACAAAGGCCTCTCTCTCCTGTGGATTCCAAAGCCAGTGCTGGAAAATATGGGTCATGCTCATCAAATATAAAACCCAGCTCCCTACACTGGGTTCAAGGCTGTGGTGTGGTTGTTGCCCAATTTCTGACTGAGAGTGGCCCTCCATATTTTCCTGAAAATTTTAATAAACAGCAGAAGTTGTGCATGTGTGTGTGTGTGCGTGTGCGTGTGTGTATACACACTTAATTCAGAGTCTGTGAACTTACTTCTGTACCATACAACTTAGAAAGACACCTGTCGACCAGTTAGACCCAGGTCAAATTCTTGCTGTGCATAACCCAGCAGCATGATGCTTATTTTCTTAGAACTTTCATGTTCTCACCTATGGATTCCAAAGCCAATGCTGGAAAGGATGAACTATGCTAACTAAATATAAAGGTCGCCTCCCCTTCGCAGGGCACACTGCCACAAAACAGCAAGGGCAGCATTCAGCCTTCGCCCAGCCCACAAGCACCACTGTCTTTATTAACAAGATCTATTATTATTTCTCTGCCTTTGTCACACAGGCAGGAGCCAAGCAGGAACTTTATCCACCTGAGTTTAATGATTTGGAATTTCTAAGACCCTGATTCAAACATGGCCATTTTCCAAGGATTCCCTGAGGAGCCTGGTGCTCTAAAGACTGGAGACATCTACCATTAAAACCTCAGCAGCATGAAGCATTGTGCTGAGAGGTACTGGGGCAAAGGTCTTGGGGCTCAAAGGCCCTGTTCTGGATCCCAGCCCTGCTGCTTGTTTCCTGGGCTTCAGTTTCATCATTGATGAAATGAGGATGCTTAACCCCAGGACTGCAGTGGCTGAGAAAGGTGGTGGCAGGTGGGCATAGGGCCAGGCTGGCCATGGACACTCACGCAGTGTTGGTTGAATGAATGAGGTCTGAGTGGTCCTCCGTGTTGAAACCTCCCAAATGCAGTGATCAAGATCAAGATGATCAAGATGTCCGAAGAAATGAGACCATTCTATCTGCACTAACGCAAGTTCTGGCCCAACCTTGTTGGCACTATTCCCCTCTGTGTTTAGCCTTTTAGGATTACAAGAGATTCTATCTGTGTGAAGTGGATCTGGAAAATGTGAAGTAATAGAACAAAACTCTTCCAGTCACTAATGCCTAAAAAAGGTTCATGCTATGGAACTAATGGTACCTATGGTGGGCTGAGGCTGGGAAGGCCCTGGGCTCTACATCCTGGTGAGCAGGAGCTGCCCCAGGCCCAAGCACTTCCCTTCCTGGGGGCACAGTCCCACCCACCTGGGCTGCCCTGCCTCAGAGTTCTGGGCCCTGGCTGCCAGGCTTCTGGGATCTCTCCTCCATCACACAATGTTCCCCAGATTCACCAGGGAAAACAGAATCTATGAAAAGAAAATTTCCTGCTACTAAACTTAACGATTATCCCGGCCTCACTCTGGCTTCCCTCCTAGGACCCACCCCTCCCCCATCCCAGAGGCCCTGTCCATGTCTTTGACCTCCTCCTCTCCAGCGCCCCCTTCCCGTGGGCATCTTAGTGATCATCAGCCTCTCCCAGAAGCCACAGGAAAACAGCCTCCCAGGCGCCCCTCTCCTCCAGCTCCTGCTCTTTCTTCTCCTCCAGGGGAAAATTTCTCACACCCCCTTCCCTCTCCCACCCACCTCTCTACCCCTGCTCATCTGAATGTGCTCTTAACCAAGGACAACTTCCTGACTGGAAAACCACAGCCCCTACTCAGGCCCCTCCACCCCTCTGTGCCCTCTGCCGGGTGCTGGCCCTGCCCTTGCACCCCACGTTCTTCTGCTCATCTTCCCACTTCAGGCCCCCACCTGGGTCTGTCCAGGCTCACTGTCTACATTTCACCCTGAAGGTCACAGAAATACCCTGGCTTCAGCCATGTGTCTCTGTACCCCAGGTTGCCACCCTGAGTGCCAGGCTAGGCTACCCAGCTAGCTGCTGGCCACACCGCAGCACCCCACACTGCAAAACCAGCAGGCTCAGAACAAAAGGGTATCAATGCAGTTGCCTTAAATAAAAACTCAAACATGAGATTCATGTAAACATTCAAAGGCAAATGCATATCAGAAGTCACGAAGGAAAAATCCCTAACTGGCACAAAAATAGCCCCATCTTAATACCCCCACCCGTGCTCATTCCTAGGTGACAACAGGCATCAACACTGGTCCTGCAAAGCTTCTCCAGCCATGTGACAGGAGGCTTGCCCACCAGCAGTCAGATCCCTCCAAGAAGGAGCATCAGCTCTCTGCTTAGTGGTCAGGGAGTCAGAAGCCTTGAAGTGGCCGAGGAGGGCCTGACTCTGACAGTGTCTGAAGCCAGTGAGGTCATCCCTAGAAGAGGTGGCCTGGGGAGTGGTGACACATCCTCCTTGAAGACCCCATGGTATCCAGGCTGCCAAGCCATAGGAAGCTGGCGCCAGCCCACGGTCCCTCCAATGTGGGCTTAATTCTGACCACAGCTTCTCCAAAGCACATTCGTTGACCGTGTCCACACGGAAACCGCATCACATTCAAGAAGAGTCTCTAAATCAGACCTCTGACCACCACCAGCTGGCACCAGCCAATGACACCACGTCACCACTGTGCCTCCCGGCAACTTTTCCCTTCCTCTTCCTTCCCACCCTCTGGCAGGGGAAAAACAAAAACATAAGATCGACTTATGAACAATCTTCAGAAGAACTGGTGGGACAATGACAGTCAAAGGAGCTCTAAAAACACCCAGGACAAGGTGGCCACTGAGGCAGTGGGGGACAGA